CTGGTGGACTCGTTGAAGATCCGCAGGCACTCCTCCATGGGGTCCGAGTCAAAGTCCACCTCCTTCTCCAGGGCCGAGTAGTCCACATCCGCCCCCGCGCTGGAGGACGAAGAGGAGGACGGTGCGGGGGAGGGGGGCGGGGAGGCCTTGAGCCGCTTGGGCGGCCCCCGCGCGTCAGGGAAGCCCAGGCTGGAGTCCGAGTCAGAGTCTGAGTCTGAGCTGAGGCTGGGGAGGGCAGGGGGCCACACACTCGGCACCCCCGGCCCTGCGGCCTCGTCCTCACTCTCGTCTCCGAAGAGGTCGGCGTGGCTCAGGGCCCGCTTCTTCAGTTTGGGGGCGTCCTGGGAGGCGCCCTCGTCTAGCGAGCGGGCTTTCCGCTCCACCAGCTTCCCCGATGGGACCTTGGTGCTTTTCCTGTCGGGGAGCTGGAGGGGGCGGGGTGGGCCTCTGCTGGCCGCCTGTTGGGAGTCCCCGCTTGTGGGGCTCGGCCGCCGCGCTGGCCGGTCAGGCCGTCCTTTCCCTGAGCTGGCCACAGGAGTGGCCGAAGATGGCTTCTTCTTGGTCCCTTCCAGTCGCTCTGCCTTGCGCCGGGGGCTGCTGGCCTGCGGGCCCTTCTTGTCCGCACGGGGCTTCTCTGCAGGCCGCCTTCGGCCCTTGTCCTTGGTCTTGTCCTTCCTCTGGGTCCCATCTTTGCAGCTGGGGGCAGGTGGGGTCCCGCTTTTTTTCTTCTTGGGTTTTCCCTCCTTGGGGCAGCCCCCATCCTGTGAGGCCTGGACCTGGGCTGGGGAGCAGGGTTTGGCTGGGGGTGGCTGGAAGTCTCCCACGTCGCACTGCACGGCCGTCTCCTTGGTCTCCCGCAGGCCGCCCCCCTCGGCCTCCAGGCCCTCTTTGGAGGGTGGCTGCCCAGTGGCCTTGCTCTCAGGGTCAGCCCTGGCTTTGGGGGTGCTGGCGATGGTGGGCTCATTACCTGGGGCCGTGGTGGCCTCATCTTCCGAGTCTGAGAACCTCGCATCGCAGCTACTGAAGGGGTCACAGGGTTTTTTGGGAGCAGGGGTGTGGGGCTCGCTGCTGCGGGGGCCCCGGGGTCGCTTGGCAGCCCGCTCGTCCCGGGAGCTGGCCCTGCTGAGGTGCCGGGCCGAGTAGTTGGAGAGAGGGTCATACTCCAGGTCTGTGGGTGGCCTGGAGTTGTCCACCACATACTTGCCACTGGGAACAGGGCGGCTATGCCGCCGGGGCTGGCTCACAGCCTTGGGGACGTATTCCAGGGCACCACCGCCCCCTCCGCCTCTGCCCTGACCCCTGTCCAGGGACGCCAGCAGGTACTTGCTGCCCGACTCGGCAGGGGTGGCCAGCGGGGTGGGCTGGTAGCCGGTATC